AATTTTTCTTCCAACAATCGCCTAGCAGTTGTAATACGCTCAAAGAATTCATCCCAAAGTATGTCATAAAAGTGAAATTCATTATTTTTCATCATCCAAAAGCTTCATCATCAACCACATATCCTTCATTATGAGATTCTTCTTTTGTAACTTCCTTATCAAAGATCACTAATTCATCCCAATCCATAGATATTTTGGTTAACATATATGATAGCCACGATTTATGGAATGACTTACCATATTAGCATAGATTTGATTATGCATATGTTAGCATATATGATAGCCATGATTTATGGAATGACTTACCATATTAGCAGAGATTTGATTTAGTTTCTTTTCTTGTAATATGAGCATATGCTCTTATTTTATCTATAAATACTAAAGATGTGAATGAGTGATTGATATCATTCAAGCCTTTACATATTATAAATCTTATTCAAGCCTTTACACAATTCTCTCCTTTTTTCTTCCTTTTATATTTCTACTTGGTATCAGAGCCAGGGTAGTCCGACTACAATGAGGGCACTGCGAGTTCGGCACCACCCATTCGAGAATGGTCTAAGGCGAGATCGCTCATCCGGGAGGTGTCGGGTAGGCAGGGTGATCCGACCTTAATGAGGGTGTTGCGAGTTTGACACCACCTATTCAAAAATGGTCTGAGGAGACATAGTTGTTTCTTTTTATGGTCTGAGGAGACATTGTTGATTATTTCATCTACATTGTTTAAACGTATGTATGAAGGGGAATGGTCTGAGGAGACATTGTTGATTCTTCCATCTACATGTTTTAAACATGTGAAGGGGAATGGTCTAAGGAGACATTGTTGGTTGTTTAAGGTTTGAGGAGACATGATTGGTTGTTTACGGTCTGAGGAGACATTATTAATTGTTTATGGACTGAGGAGACATTTTTGGTTTGTTGATCGACATTTTTAATCTAGTCAGATTTGCACTATGCAATTTGTAGATTCTGAAGAAGGGTGCTAGCAAGACCATGTTTGAAGATGCATTGTCCAAGTTGGGCGTCTCAAATATCCACTCACCAACTTGAGGGGAAGTGTAAACATATATGATAGCCACAACTTATGGAATGACTTACCATATTAGCATAGATTTTATGCATATGTTAGCATATATGATAGCCATGAAATATAGAATGACTTACCATATTAGTAAAGATTTGATTTAGTTTCCTTTATTGTAATATGAGCGTGTGCTCTTATTTTATCTATAAATACTATAGCTGTGAATGAGTGATTGATATCATTCAAGCCTTTACATATTATAAATCTTATTCAAGCCTTTACACAATTCTCTCCTTTTTCTTCTTTTTATATTTCTACTATTTTTGACTCGCGTGATTCAATGTGTGGTTCTTCATCAAAAATTGGATGCTTACTCCAGTCAACAAATGATTTGATAGTAGCTTCCTCTTCTACTTGGGGTTGTTCTTCTTTTCCACCAAAATATCCTGCAAATTTAGGAATTTCCTCCTCAAAGTAACCATCCCAACGCCTTTCGTCAAATAAAACATGCATTGTATTGCTGCAAAAAGGATTAACAAAATCCTCTTCAAGATTATCCTCGTGAAAAACAGAAATCTGAAAATTGATATATGTTGGCCAACAACGATCAATCCGCAGTCCGTTCATCAAGTGATCTATGGCGACGCGAAAAATAAAACGATTTTTTCGCAATGGTCTCAATGTCTAACACACCCTTATCCACCGAAACATTGTCATCAACCGGCAAGTTGACAACGCATTGACCCAATAGTTGCGTCAACAACTCAACTTGTCTCCGCGAAAACTCTATCTCACTTTCGTGTTGCTTGGGTAAGGGTTCAGCCAGAACCTGCATCCTACGATTTCCTCCTCTCGGTAGTTGTAGTGGAGGCATAATTGAGCAGTCAAAAAGCCGAAACCTAAGCTCTGATACCACACTGATGCCGCCTTACCAGGAGGATACGATTAAATCGTCTTTACAGCAATATTGAAACGAAATAAAGAACAAACGCAAGAGAAAAGGAAAAATTGCAAAGCAAACTTTATTTGCTGTAAAAAAATAATAATCTCTTCAACTAAAACTGTAAACCCTAGCAATTACAAGGCTTTATATAGAGTTTCTTCCTCCCCAATCCTAGCCTTATATTAGCTAACTACCAAATGTAAAATAGAATCAAAATAGGAAACATGTTGAAAATAGAAAAAAAAAAAAAACTAGTCAAAAAGGAAAGCTGATGAAAATCAGAAAACTACTCGAAATAAGGAAACTTTTCGAAATATGGAAAGTTTCTAAAAAACACAAATTCCACTTGCAAAATTTTGAAACTCTGCATGCTTCAGAAATTGTGTTCACAGCAATTTTGAAACGAAATAGAAGGACGTGCATGAGAAAAGGAGAAATTGCAAAGCAAACTTAATTTGCTGTAAAAATAATAATCTCTTCAATTAAACTATAAACCCTAGGAATTACAAGGTTTTATATAGAGTTTCTTCCTCCCCAATCCTAGCCTTATATTAGCTAACTACCAAATAGAAAATAAAATCAACATAAGAAAGCTGTTGAAAATCAAAAAAACTACTCAAAAAGGAAAGCTTATTAAAATCATAAAACTACTCAAAATAAGGACACTTTCAAAATATGGAAAGTTTCTGAAAAACACAAATTTCACTTGCAAAAATTTGAAATTCTGCATGCATCATTAAAACTTCTATAACAGTCCACATGTCTTCCCTCCTTTCTTCCGCCAATTTTTTGGGCGAATGAAAATTTGTAAAGGAGGAAGGATGGGTCATCATTCATATTTCCCTTTCTTTCCTTGTATCATTTCTACCGAACAAAGGAAGTTCATTCCTTCCTTCCTATTTTCTCTCCACACCTCTTCCTTCCTTCCTTCCTTCCTAACACAGCATTAAAAATTTCAACTCTCCTATGAAGTCTACAAAAATAAAACTAAAAAGAAAAAAATAATAAAATAAAATAAAATTTTTAAATCATTCACAACTAAAACGAACAAAGAACTGGATTCTTCAGTGTAAGGATTGGCAGCACAATGTCCTCAGAAGTTTGTCTATTCCGCTCTCTCAATATACTCCACCTAAGACAAAAAAAGAGCAACAAGACATGCTTGCTTTTACTTCTTCTGAACACAACAGTTCTCCAACAAATCACAAAACCAGCAACAAAACAAATCACGGAGACCTCCGTCTCAGGTGAATCAACTATGAACTTTGAAGAAGTACATTCCAAGTACTCCAACCTAGACTGACACCTAACCTAGACAACACTCAGTTACTGCCGAAACCTCAAACTTATCGCCGGTGACAACTTAGGCCTTCAAATGCTGCTTGATGGAATGCTGCATTCCGATCATTCGCCAATGTTAGAATTCAAGAAACACTTCTTCAACAATCAAAAGAATACCCAACCCAACCAAACTCAACAAAACCTTTCTTCAACTACAAGAATCCTTTTTTTGCTATTCTGCTCTATCCAATGCCATAGCCTCAATTGCATTACATGCTATCAAATATTTCCTGACCATCTCAATCCATGTTAGTTTTGGTCTTTCCCTTCCCTTAGCACTAGTCTCAATAAGGACCAAGACACTTTTTATAACTGGTGCAACTATTAGAAGGGAAAAAATATATATATATATATAAAACATGTGTTTAGAGAACTTCAAAGAACAAATGATTAAGAGCTTAAGAGAACTTAAGCATGAAGCTTTAAAATCTCAAGTAGAACATTTTTCTTTCTTCTCACTAATTCTATATTCATAATAAACAATAAAAATAAACATAAACATGTTTAATTTGGGTTTGAAAACCTTTTCAACTTCAAAAAATATATTGTATTGAAATTTGTTGGGAAAAGTTCCACGAAGTTTGATACATGTTAGGACATGCTCTGATGTACAGGTGCAAAATCAAAGTGCACTCATGCTCAAATCTCTATTTCACTTTCAAATCTAGAAAATCATTATGAAAACTTGACCTAGCTTTTCAAAGACCTTCTTGAAACACTTTAAATCAAAGTTAATGATTTTAAAACAATTTAAATGTCCTCACAAGACTCCCATATTACAACTGATTATTCATGACTGCAACACATTTGCTTGACGACATACATGACCCCTGAGACTCTTCTTTACTCAATAAAAATAAAAATTACAACTTGATATCATTTTGAAAAACAAAAGGTTGCCAACACATAACACATTGACTTAACATTTATAACCAAGGTTGAGGACCCATATTGTAAGAAAAATCAGTTATAACTCCACTTAGATTATGAATATGGATAAAATGCATAAAACCTGTATTAATCAGTAATATACTACTAGACTAAGATACCAAAAGGAAAAAGTTAGTCCTTCTCCCTCCTTTTTTTTGTAACAATAGCTACCAAAATCTATAAAGAATGGTGGAAACTTTGGGCTACTCTATTTTTTCTTCTTCTTATTCTTCTTTTCCTTTTTATTATTTTAAACGAGAACATCTTGGTTGTGATAGAAAAATAAAAGGTGTGGGGACAGTGGGTGGCAGCAAGTGCTCCATAAACCCCACAAACACTCCAGTGAAAACCAAAAACAAGGATTATAAGGGGAAATAACTTGCCACAAGACTTGTTGTGTACATGTTATTAGGGAAAAAAAATGCTCTCTTTTAAGATGTTCGGATCTATAATTACAAATTATATTAATTTCCTTGAAATTGGAAGAAGTTACTTACCACACAACTATAATCACTTTTCCACAACTACAATTGCTCAAAGCAAAATGCAAATATTCTACATTCGTACCAATCCATATATAATTCTAAAGAGAATTTTAATCAAGCTATCATACCTCAGATTCATCCCAACAGTTAATAACTATAATCTACCATACAACCAAGTCACACACTACTGCATGCTCACAAAAACGCAGAACCCCCTTCTTTGGGCGTGCATGTGTTACAAACAGAATTTCTGCTATAAAAAGTTGCATAAGATTACCTTTTGCCGAAATGTCTGAAGAAACAATGACTCGCGAACCAAGGGTAAGATAGCATCAATGAAGGCCTCTTGCAACCCTTTAGCTTTATAAATCTGACAAAGCTTTAGTTTTATTTTCCCATTAAGCCACCAAGGTACAGATTTATCAGAATTTGGGTCAAGGGTTGATTCTGTAATTTAAGCCAAAAGGTCATGAAAGAAGGTAATACAATATCTATATAAACGATACCAACAGGAATCTAGGAATTTGTATAAAAGGAAAGATACCAGAACAAGGAGGAGAAAGAACGAATATGGCTTCATCTTCTTTATCTTCGTCAAGAAGAAGCGAAGCAAGAGTTATCCGAGCATCAACATTGTCTTGAAGTGTATGTAAAGCTGAAGAGAAACTTTCATGAGCAGCATAACTTGGCAAAAGATTTTCAAAACATGCAAGCTTGTAAAGTAAAAATCATAAATTCTAAGACAACAACTAATCAATGAGCATTTCTAAATTTTGACCTGTATTATAGAGTAGGTGAATCGTATTACCAAAGAATGGTGTCAGGTGAATAGTACTTATGTTGGCAAATTTCATAGAATAGAACTGAGTCCATACTTTTGTTTTAATTTCTATTTTACTTTAGAAATGTTCAAAAGTTAGTCAATCCAAGGTCGAAGATGAAATTTACGCTACAATCAAGGGTAATTCAGTAATCTTCGTCCACAAGAGTAAATAGGTAATTCGTCACATTGATGCATTCACCAATTAGGGTTCATGCATACCATATCTAGGGTTTCTAAATTTCCGAGGTTCAATCTTATTTTGATTCCTTAAAATGTTTTAAGTTTGCATAAAAAAATGTTCTAAAACCTGCAGGAGAATTCGATTGATTGATGCATCAATCAAAGTCTTCCAGAGAGATGTCGATCGATCGATTGAGCTATTCGAAGCAGCAGTTTCCAAGTCGGTTTGAACTCTACAAACACCCTAATTTGTCTCTAATACTTGGCTGTCTATATATACCTAACACAAGAGCAGATTATACACATACAAAATAATATATTGAGAGATGATTTCTTTTGTGAGTTATTTGCATCACTCTTTTTCTTTCACATTCATCATCTCTTAGTTGGTGAGTGTGTTCATATGTGTTGACATCTGTTGTTGCGTACTCAAAAGATCAGTTCACCACTATAGTTCAATCACATCCAAACTGACGTTTGGACGACTAGTGGCTGAGACTGGATTCAATATAGAAGCAGGTGAATTAGGAGCAAGTGCTGTTGACAAGCGGAAGATCTACCAGAGACTTTTCAAGGTCAAAGTTTGGGGTCTTTTGCGTCGAGAAGGTGACTAGGGGAAGTTGCAAAATTAAGTAGAAATAAGGAAAAACATGTCAAACACACACAACAAGAACACACAGATTTTTACTTGGTTCACCCAAAACTAGGGCTACGTCCAAGGGTTGCAGGGTTGCAGGGATTTCACTGTGATGATAAAAAAACGGCACCAATACATAGAGTTCAGAATGAATAAATACCCTCGGGGCAACATAACAAGTGAGCCTTGGTGTACACTGTACAGTATTTATCAGGCTCCACACTACCCATCAGGGGATTCTTGGGGTAGCATTTCTTAACCTAGGTTGTAAACCTTCTATCTTGATAGTGAATTTGGTTTGCATGGACTAAGTCTCGTTGTATTTCCATTTTTAGGGTTTCCGCATAAAAATATACTGTTTGTTTCTTTTATTGCTTTATAATGCTGTGGATTGCATAAGATTTTTACTCTGCTAGATTCTCAAGTTAATTCTATTTTAATTTTAAAATTAGTTAAAACAGTTTGTCATTTCTACAAGACTTATTCAGCTCCCCTCTAGGTCTAGACCAGTGGACCTTGTATGAGTGCAATTTCTTTTTCGTTGATACGCCCAGCAATTTGTACTTGAATTCCTTTTGTATCTTCTAGTTCAGTTAATTCATTAGACATTTTCATTGCTTTGCGAAATGAAACTCTATTTCTATCCAAGCCTCGAGTTCCAGTCCTTCGTACTCTCAATTAGTATCAGAGAGGGTTGCTCGAAATTTACCAAGTAGGTTGTGGAAGGCCTTAAGGAAGGCAATTCCATATCTAGGCCAACCCTATTTTAAGGAAGCAACTATAGCTACTGGAAAGCTCACATAAGAATTTTCCTAAAATCTATGGATGAAAAGGACTGCTTGCTCTATTGTGGCACACAAAAGCTCCTCGTAAGTTGCTTTCTTTAAATGGTTGGCAGTTCGAGAACAGATTTATGACTAATGACAACTTATGGAAAAGGCAGCAGATCATAATTAACTAACATTGCAAACGTAGAAGGGATGAGGGATAGGTTAGCCTCTGTCTGTGCATTGTTTGCTGGCCAGGTGTTTGTGTGCTCAGTTCTCTCTTGTGCTCGGTTTTGTGTTTGTTGGGTATCGTCCAGGTCAACAAGGTATGTGCATGCCAGTGCTAAACAATAGATTAGAGAAGAGTGGCAGGCAGCTTTCTTATATCTTTGGTGAAGGATCTGGGTAGAAGGAATGGGAGAATATTTGAGTGCAATGTGGAATGTGGAGCCCACATAGCCACAACTTTCTAAAAAAATAATAATAATAATGCCAACATAGTATGCTTGAAAAATAAAGAATATAGCCAAAAATCATTAACCAAGTGTTAATATAAAAAAATTCAATTTATCGAAATAAAGTTGAATAATGAAACACACTTCAACTACGTTTTGAAATATTAAGCATGAAGTGTGAAATGGAATTTGATTGATGATGGAAGAATCAAATGGGCGTAATAAGACTTTCACCACCCCAAAAGAATTGATAGTTATTGAATAGTTTTGTTGATAAATGTATATGCATACATAAAGTTCCTCAGTAACAATATGAGGCTAATATTTTCTTCTTTTTCATATGGTAGGCTGTGAATCCTGTGATTATGAAATATGATTACACCAGAACCATTTATATTAACTCCACATACCTTTGCGGAAGTGTTCAATTGCTCGTAACCTTTCATTCAGGAATAAGTTACATTGGGCAATTTTCAAATGCAGAAAACCCTGTTGAAAGGTCACCAACACAGAAAACAGCAGCTCAGTCCTAGAAAGCAACAAATATATACAGCAAATGAAAACTTAAAACAAATAAGATTAATTGAAGGGGAAAATAAATAAATTAATAAAACTACCAAGGGAAAAAATAGAAGTGTCTCGTCATCCATCTTCAGGCACTAATTTACAGATAATCAACAACATCAGAGCTTTTTTTATGTATAATAGTTCATTTCATATTTAAGAATACAATAAAGAACCAAAAACTAACTGATCTATTGAAGTCTGTCAATTGTCATACCACAGACCTGGATTGAAGTCTAACAATATCTTTATTATAATAAGTATGATAATTTTCTATTAAAAACTGATTAACGGAGCGTTGGACAAGCTAAATCACCATTTGCACAGATCATAAAAAGACACCAAGCACATTTGAGAGGCTATTACCCAATATGATCCCTTTAAATCAAAGGCACTGAGAAGGGTGGACTAGATATATCACTAACCTTTGGTATTATATGCACATTATGGTTTCGACCATTACAATAAGCAACAGGGATTGAATATGCAGTGTATGCTGTGAACTAAAAGATTAGAAAACCATGCAGTGTATGATGTGAAATTAGTTACACAGCTAAGTGAATTTCACACCTTGAGTCAGTCCCAAAGGAATTAACACATGTTAATCAGTTTTTGTACACAAGAAAACTGAGACATCAACATAAGTGAACTGAACTATTTCGTGCCGAAATGGATCATTCTCCTGATATATTGAACTCAGGTGAAAAATTAGTATGCATAAGTATACTTGTCATACCAAATAGAAATATAAACGCAGATAGTTTCTCTTACATTGTCAGCTTCACCATTTCCTTCTAAAATCATATAGTATTTCAATGCCGATTCATAATGCCCAAGACTGATTAAGGAGTCTGCAACTGCAGTAATTAAGTTATGATTATCAAATACATTCTCCCGTTGCAAAATACTGAATATAGCCTGCACAACATTTAGCAATTATCAGAAACAGGAAATAGAAAGGACATTACTCAGTTATGGTCCTGCTACAGCAGGGTCCTAGGGAGGGAGGACTCAAGACAGACCTAACCTTTGATATTTCACAAAGTGGCTGCTCTGAGGCTCGAACTCACACCAAGGACACAGATGGTCAAGCGTTAAACCGCTAAACCAAGATATGGACCTCATCAGTAACAGGTAATACTAGTTGTAAAAACATAGACAATGCATGGTCATCATAACCCACAATGTGATCAATCTGAAAATTGTGGTTACAATAGAACTCCAGTAGTAAAAACATAGACAATACTTGCTCATTTTAATCCACATTGTGATCAATCTGAAAATTGTGGTCAATAGAACTCCAGTATCTTATTCTTCCTTCCAAAGTGTCTATAAATATCCATAATGTTTTATGACTGAGTGGAAACATAACACTAGGATCAAGAAGAAGGGTAAAAAAAACCACAGAAAAAATAGTTCATAACTCAAGACGACTCTATACACTTGCACAAAATTCAAATTGACTACAATCTCTGGCTTACAAAAGTAAAGATCAATAGCAAGTGGATATGATTGGATGGAACTCTATTGCCAATACCACCCAATGCTACATGCATGACTAAGTAACACCCAATATCTAAAGTATTATGAATTTATGACACAATAACAATGGTTTTAATCATTTATCTGAAAAGTAAAAATAACAAATGAGCCAAAACTACACATATTTTATAGAATAATCTTTCAACTTGAAAAATTTTGTTCCTAAATAAGAGAAATTTTACCATTACAAAAATACTATTAGCTATACAACAAGGACCAAATAGTCCGCTGCAATTTTCACGTAGAAAACATGGCTACAAAACACCGATCTGAGAGTTAAAAATGAAAAAAAAATTAAAAATAATAATAAAAGTGGCAGGGGTGGGGGGAGTTCTTTTATTAATTTGGTGACAAACGGATCTAGAAATAGTAACTATTTTTAAAATTGATGAGAGATGGAGAGAGGACTGGCATGCCCCCAATCATCATTAGAGGCTTTTCCTAGAAATCGGCTGGCAGCAAAGCTTGATGGTATTTCCACCATTAGAACAAAATGAAGTATTGCCAACATGAGCCCCAAATTTACTCAAATTAACAGAGCTCCAATCCTTTAAAATAGTTTTAGAAACCTAGTGTGGTAATTCTACCATACTGAACACATAACAATACTTTAAGTTACCCTATTACAACAAATATGAAATAAAGCACTCCTATAGAAATCGTGATGCTTCTCAAGCTCAATGTCTCATACTAGAACACTGAAACACTGAACCAACACAATGAAGACTGCCCTTTGTACATCAAGAAAGTTAAAAAACATAGAAGGTGGTTATTGAGTATTGGTCTCGTCAATTCAGGGTACTCGAGAGTGTGAAACGGCACAAAATAATATACTACAAAAAGTTGTGTTCATCGTTAAGCCCTAACCCAAGTTGGTGTTTAGGAACCTTTTCTCCATTAGAAAATGGGACTTCCTTAATTTGGTATCAGCAAAAAATACAGAATGAATTTTAGAATAGTCATAAATCATAAAAGACCAAAATTTGTGTTCCCTGGGAAACTAACCACATTGAATCGAAGAGAAATTTCTCATCTCTTGTTGTGGGTAGCTAACACCAATGCAGGACGACTGGATAAGCCTAGAAACCTTAAGAATCTTGATTATCTTGCAAGGGAAGATGGAACTAAAGATATATTTCAGAGAAGATCTAAGAAAGAGAGAAAGGGAAAAGTAGTACTTTAAAGAAGAAATAAGAAAAATAAAAGGAGGGATCGAGAAAGATGTACCTCGGCACCTCCCAAAATTAACAAACTGGTTATCTAGCTAAGTACTATTCAATCCCCATCATGTTCCACCTAACAGGAAAACAAAGATAAAAAATGGCTACTTATGAGTAGAGCCCTTAGCAGCTAAAGTAACTACGTTATGTCATGATAAGTGCCCTTGAGGAGCTTCATTCAATGCTGTAACCTACGAACTGAGGGGGTTAGTTGATGATTAAGTAAACCTTCTAAAAATACATTAAATACTACTCCCTCCGTCCCACAAAAAGTGTCCACCTTTCCATTTTTGGCTGTCCCAATTCAAAATCCAATGTACTATTGTTTACTATTCCCGATTTACCCTCCTTGCCTTGAAGTTATAAAAGAAATAAGACCTCATGTGGATCCACCATAGAAGGGTATATTTGAAAATTCATTCCCTACCACTATAATAAAAAATAAAATAAAAAAATAAAAAAACATTAAAAACTACACTCTTAAAAAATTAGGTTCCCGAAAAAGGGACACTTTTTGTGGGACGGAGGGAGTAAAATACTGCAACTTGACATTCAAAATTATAACAACCAACTGCAAAAGACTCTTAATCCCAAAAAGTTCTCTAACCAAAAGTGTAAAGAATTTTCTGAGGTTTAGACTGCTATAGTGGTTGCCTCTTCTCTAGAGTGAAAACTGGCTACATAATAATACACAGTATAAGAAGAATTTTACAGAAACAACAATAATTGTGCCGAAACTGAAAATACATAAAGCAAAACGAAAAGAAACTTAAACTTCGATTCCCCAAGTATTTCAGTTTGGTGATTTAATAGCACAGTTTTTTTAAAAAATAAAATTTAGAATTTTGTGTGTTCTATTACACAATTCAGTTTGTACATCCCTATCATCAATTATATTGAATAGGCAAGTATAATCCCATTATGCAGAAGTCAAACTCATTTTCATAACATTTAAGTAATGTAGTCCTCAAGTTGATGTTCACATATACATCAACCAAAACATATCATTTATTGTCAAAATGCTACACCTCAACCAAAAAATTCCACACCAAAATCCAATTTATGGTCAAAATGACATCTATGCGTTCCGTAATTAAATCTATCAAGTGTTGCGACAACTACTACACAGGGAGTGTAGTTGGCATCAATGACAAACATAACGTATAGAAAATTATCAATTTTTTTGGGCAATTATGTTTCAAAATCAATAATGTGTTTATACAATTTATACCCAAAAATAAAATAAAAATGTGTTTCGGTGTGTAAAAGCAATTATCACAAACAGCATATCCAAGAAAAACTGAACATTCAACTGAAAACATTATTCTAATAAGACATTATAGAACGCAACAAATAAAAGATTAGAGTACCCGAAAATAGAAACAAGCAATTCCAAAAGCTGCATGAGCGTCTAGCAATATTAGAAGATAAATGAAACAAACCTCTGCCCTTTCCATATGTCCAAGATGAACATAACATATTCCTTCTTTGATTCTTAAAAGTAATGGTAATTCTTTCCCAGCACACAAAACCAGTCGTGCATGCTCAATGTGCTGAAGAGCTTTGATGTGTGCATTTTCTTCCATGCATATTGCAGCTAAAAGATCAACCACACTAAAATTGGCTTCATTTGGATGATGTTTAAGATGGTACTCCAGAACACTGACAGAACGCTCATGCTGGCCACATTTTTTGTAGAACTAAAAAAGGAAAGCAATAAATAAACTAATGTCAGTACTTTCGCAACAGTTGAAGGTTTCCTATTCTGCCAGGAAAATTAACTCTGAATTGTGCCATATTTTATTTGCTGATGATCTTCTAGTAGTGTGTGAAGCATCTTTGTCTAATGCAAAAGCTTTATTTGATATATTTCAACAGTTTGCACATTTGACTGGGCTTCAGATTAATCCTGCTAAGAGCACAGTGTTATTCTTAAGGGCAGTGAGGAGGAAGAATGTTTTGTTACAGATGCTGCAATGTAGTGAAGATGAATTTCCAATTAAATATCTAGGTCTACCTTTATGTCCACAGGGTTTAAAGAAGTCCAATTGCAAAGATCTTATTGATAAAATTTCTCAAAAAATTCAGAATTGGAGCAACAAGTTACTTTCTGTAGCAGGAAGATTGGAGTTGTTGAAAACTGTGGTTAATCCAATTTTTTTGTATTGGTGTAGCTTATTTGTGGTACCTGTGGCTGTTACTAACCAAATCCAGAGACTGTGCAGGGATTTTTTATGGGGTAGTACAGAACAAGAGCATAAAATGCATCTGTTGAGTTGGAAAATGGTGACTAAAACTAAGAAGGAAGGTGGTCTGGGGCTGAGGAGACTTAAGGATTTACAGATTGTATCTAGGTGTATTCTTTGCTTGGGACTTTTTGACCAGCAAAGACAGATTATGGGTATCATGGTTTCAGCAGAAATACATTCCGCAAGCTTCATATTGGAATGTAGTTCCTCAAGCTACAAATTCAGTTGTGTGGAAATCTATGGTGGAGGTTAGAGACTTAATGTTGCAGTTTACTAGGTATCAGGTTGGGAATGGGCAACAAATTAAGGTATTTCTTGATCCTTGGTGTGGGGGATTAACTGTCTCACAACAGTTTGGTCATAGGTTGGGCAGACTGTTGGTTATGGCTAAAACAGCAACTTTACAGGCATTAATAGTTCAAGGAGGATGGGATTTGCAATTACTTCATGAAGAGGGATTACAACCTTTTAGAGATTATCTTTTGAATATTCCTATTTTGCAGAGACCTGATAAGATTTTGTGGAATGGGGGCAGTTCAGTTTCAAAAAAGCATGGAAATGTTGTACATCAGTAGAAGAATCTGTTCAGTGGCATTATTTGTGTAGGGGTAAAGCTAGACCAAGGTGGTCTACAACGGTTGTTTTTGCTATGCAGGACAAGTTGCCTTCCATGGTGAATCTGCAGAAGAGAAATATGGTTTTGGCTCCAATTTGTACTCTGTGTTTGTCTGATAGTGACGACAAAAAATCATATGTTCATTACTTGTTCATATTCACAGAAATTTTGGGTTTGGTTTGCCGAGGTCTTAGGATGGGATTCTGATTTTGGTGCTATTCATACATTGTGGGAGCTATTTCAGTGGTGTGATAAATTATATCATGGCTTCAACACATTGAAAAGTCTGTTTGCTGCTGCTATTTGGGGGCTGTGGAAAGAAAGAAATGCTAGATTACATGAAGGGCAGATTCATGAGCCTTCTGAGCTGGCTCGAACTATGCTAATGGAGGTTCTACAAGTCCATAATGTCAGGCTACAGGATGTATTGTAGTGTATGCAATACAACTAGAGACTGTTGTTATTACAGTTATATGGCTGAAGTTATTGGAGCATTGGCTTGTGTGATCTTGATCCCTATAAGGTTATTTCTAGTTAGCAGTGACTAGAAATTTTTATATAGATCTTCTTTGTTTCTAATGTCCTCTTAAGAGATGTTTATTTTAGTTCTTCTTTAAATTACTGGAGTTTGATCTAAGGTATTTTTGTTGTACTCTCCAGTAATATTCTGAGGGTATGCCCTCTGTGCGCCTGTAAATATTTATTCTTTCTTCTTGTTATACAAAACCCAATTATGAAAAAAAACAAAAACAAAAACAAAAACAAAAACAAAAAAAAAAAAAAAAAAAAAAAAAAAAAAAAAGGAGAATATATATGTGTGTGTATTGGTAAAAATGAAACAACACAAGAAGTAGCAGTTCAATTCGCATATATTCATAAAATGCAGGGCAGCTAAGCTAGCAAAAGCAATCTGCATATGCTATTACCTAATGCACAAGAAGCTAATTTAGCATTGTAAAGTCAAAATATTTTCCAAATCAATCACATGAACTGAAGCCATATCAGCTACTTGGTTTTAAAATGAAAGCTATTAAGAGACAGAGAAGGGTAAAAACCATCACTGCTGTCTTCAGTGCTTCAATATTCTCAGGGCAGAGACGTGAGATTTGCTCATATGATTCAGCAGCTTTCTGATTATCTCCCAGCTCCACATAAAGTGAAGCCCGATTGAATTTGAGACTAACATCTTCAGGATCCGCTGTTATTGCTTTGGAAAGGCAGTATCTGGCTTGTCCAGTATTGCCTTGCTCTCTACATAATTGAAATTAAAACATCAGAGGACACTTCATTCTTTCTGTTCTATAACATAGGAAGTCATATATTGCAATAATTTTATAAATAACAAGGATGGTGTTAGTTCAATACAGCAAAAAGGGTATATCCGCATATACATGCAGTAAGTCTGACCATGCAGGCATATAAAGCAAGGACAACTCTAAATGCATTGAATATCAAGATCTATGAAAAGCAGAAACGCTCTGATTTCTTAATCATGTGGGACAGGAATATCAAAATTCCATGAAATTAGTTATTTGAGCCTCTAGAAAACCATCCTTAACTAGGCATCCTCCAAAGTTATTTTGTGGTTAAACTGAAACTTGAGCCTTAGATAGCGCACACGACAAGATTCACGTAAAAATAAAATAAAAAAAATGGCTAGCCCAGTGCACAAGGCTTCAGCCATTGAAAAGTAGAATCAGATGTACACAGCCTACCTTTGCATCCAGAGAGGCCATTCTCCATTTCAAAACTGAGACCGCCAAGTCACAATGGAGCAACCTTAATGTTGCGCCAAGGCCCGTCCTCTCTCTCTCTTCTTCAAAAGTCGTGAGTTAACCTCCCTGTAAGTCTAAGAGGCATGAGTAGAAATCCTATAAAGGGATGGTTGTAATCTTGGTTGAATCAATGAACGAATGAATAATCAAACATCTTATGAAATTTCCTTGTGAGTGATTCACAAATTATGAGGGCGTGAGACCTTCTCTAGATGTGATGCCTAGACCCGTTCGTCTTATTCCATTTCTCTTTTCCTTGTTTTTTTTTTTTTTTTGATAAGTCTCTTTTCCTTGATTTTTCAACATCTATACTACCAAACCTCAAACTCCAGCCCTGATTATTTGAATTTTCAGCTGCTGCACTCTTTAATTTTCAGCTATTTGGGGCTGCTCCTAAATTCCTACATCAATGAGGCTGACCAGAACAAACATGGGATGCAAATCATGCAACATTGAGAAAAGACTTCAAATATTATATGTATTAGCAGACATAACTTGTAATAGAAAAGAGTGGAAGAAGAGGATTAAAGTGGCTAAACCATTCAATGAGGAACAAAGCAAGGATGACAATGATGACAAGATATAAAGTTCTCAATACAAACCACAAAAGGACCATGAAAGGGGGAATCTAAAGAAAACACAACTATGGAACTTGATAGAATTGAATCTCTATACCACTGAGACTTTTTAACATGTTTTAGTGAAATACTGTTGCTATATTTAGGTTAGAATATAGAGAATTCAAGTTTAAAGCAATTTGGAAGTTTAGAATTCAGTGCATAGTCAAACGAAAAAGGCCAAGTTAGCAAGCATTGAAACAATCTCATGGATTTTGTTCTGATAATTCCAGTATGGTATAGAATAAAAGAGAGTTACAGTGAAATATTTACAATCATTCGGTGTTTGTCCAACAAAATTTAGTGAAAAATGTTCATTTTGCCAGTTTACAGACTCATTAAGAATCTTTTCTAACATCTTCATTTTCTAATTTATTGGTCAAGGCTGTCAACGGCCCAGTTACTGAGAGAGGATTTAGCAATATCTTTAGTCAATTCCACTTGGGTATATCAAGTTCAAATCTCATTAACTCAATATGCACTATTATGCTTTGAGGATGTAAAATCTGAAGCAGACCAGAAAGACTACCGTGGTGAAACTGTCGATGCAAGCGGGAACACTTCACAATGTTTTTGTGTTCAAGATGTCATTTGAGGATGTAAAGGCTTTCAGGGGCATCTAGCAGCCATTCCAACTCTCACAACATCTGATTAACTCAATATGCACTAACATGCTTTGAAGCGTATCAAGAACAGCAAGCAAAGAACTCCATTTTCCAAAAAGTACAATAAGGATATTAATTTGTCATTTAAATCAACTAAAATGGTAAGGTAAAGCCGTTAATTGTAAAGGAAGGATGTGTAATTTTCAACCACATAAGATTATAATGCCTAAACGGTAGTTTTAAAATATATATATATATATGAATCAATTTATTGTTGTTGATGAACCAATTTATCCATAAATCATTGTTTCAATTATTTGATATAAATGATTAAATTAAAAAACTTCAGAAAACTCACATGGACCAGGTGACAAGAAGTTTCCATAGAGATGGATCCTTTGGTGTCAAATGTGCGGCAAGCATGTAGAAATTCAAGGCTTTCTTTCTATCACCAATTGCATTATATACAAGGCCAAGAGTATGATATGGATCAGGTGAATTTGGTGAGAGCAGAACAACTTCTTTCAACAAACATATGGCCTACATCACAAAAAATAAAAATGAAAATCAGAATAATCAGCAAAACAACATCCAAAAAGATTATAAGCTAAGATTACAAGGAAGAGGTGCTAACCTGAGAACTCACCCACAATAGTACATTCTGTTTTTTATTTTTTTTTTTTTTTATTTTTTTTTTTTTGATAAGTACCCACAATAGTACATTCAATAGAACCCAACCAAAATGCAAAAATATAACAAGACCAAACTTGAAGTAACAAGCCACCAAAGAACCCAGAACTTGACTAGCATCATTTAAACTTAATTAGAGATATAAATATTGTACTTGTACCACAGTGGAGAAGAAGGGTACAACATGAGCAGAACTCCATTCTGTCACCACGTGAACGAAGCGTATGAAAAAAATTTAGGCCTTTCTCATACCAACTGAAGCCAAAAGATACAATCACATAAAAAAATGGCTCCAAGAAAGTATAAAAATTCAAAATATAAATTCTGAACATCAATCAAAGATAACTCAAAAAACAGGGTTATGTTCTTCACAATGGCGTCAACTCCTGCAACTAGGAGGGTAAAGGCAACACATAAAGGAAACTTAGAGACTCTAAAAACTCTATCCGTAGCATCCTGGGATTAGCATTGCTGCCGATCATAGAAAAGAAACCTTCTTTGATAGCAAAGTTCTAACGCTTTGAGCTCCAAGGCAGCCATTAGATTCAGCCATATTTGTTGGGCTCTACAGCTCTAGTTATCTATAATTTTAAAAAGACGCAAAATTACTGTAATGGTAGTAGCAATACTGTTCATGCTACTTTAGCTCATGTTTTTATAGTGGGGTTGAATGGAAAAAGATAAGGGACAATCTAATTTTTGACAAGTTTTGGAGGTAATATTCAAAATACAACAAATACCAAAACGTATTGGGTGAAAAAGTCACTTAACAATGGTAATTACCAATAAGGTAATATGTACTATTTTGGTCCAAAGTGCCTTCAGCACCTTTTGAGGCTTCTTGTTCTCTCTCTATATTTTAAGTCACCATTATATACAATGTTAGATCATCGTCGAAAGGTCAAATTCCGCCATAAACATAAGCAGACGCCATCTCCATCCATCTTCCTTTCTCTCTCTACACACTCTCTCTCTATAACATGGGCCTTGCATGGGACTCCAGAAGAAGACAGAACCGCCACCATCAAAACCCATCTCTCCCTCAACCCAACCCTCCATCTTCAATCCCTCCTCCAGCACCACCCACCACCACCGCCACCATCACCATCAAAACCCATCTCTCCCTCAACCCAAACCTCCATCTTCAAACCCTCCTCCGGCACCACCCACTTTGCCACCACCGCCACCATCACCGTCACAAGCGGCATTCACCCTCAACCCATCACAGACATAGTCGTTTTTGCCACCTAAATATTGCTTCTCTTCCCTTTTTAATGTTGTTTACAACAACCCTTTTGACAATGGCTTCAATTTGGGCAGTGACGCTAATTTTCTTGCAAACCAGAGCTCGAATTCCCCTGGTTTGATGGGTTTCAATAGTTTGAGTTCTCAAACTCACATGGCCACATCGGAGTTGAATTCGAACTCTTGAGCTCCCAGCCAACCGTTTGCTGCTGATGACTGACAACAGCAATGCCATTGGTGGCATGTTTGCTCCGATTGGTTTCGAGGGGTCCGGGGATGCTCTGTTTATGCACAACAGCTGGCCTAGACCCAGTTTCCACAAGTGATTTTGAGAGAGATAAGGGTTTGTTGTTGATGGGCTTGTCGAAGAGGGTAATGGGTGTCTAAATCTGGGGTGAGATTGAAGTGCGTGGCCATGGAGGGTGATGGCTGGGTTCTTTGGATCGGTAGAGAGAATTGGAATAGATGTAGAGAGAGGGTTCTTTGGATCTGTAGAGAGAATTGGAATATATGTAGAGAGAGAGAGAGCGAGAGAGAGAATTGGAATGAAGTCTAGGGGTGTGATTCAAAGAGAAACCCTAACTTTGTGGAAACACCCAACGTTCACCAGCGTAGGATTTTAAGTTCCTCGTGACCATTTCTCCTGATGAATAACCTCGGAGTTGTGGATCTAACACGAGTTGACTCGGAATCGGTGGTCATGAACTCGTCGGTAGTCGATTCCATCTGAATCCCCATTTGTGGTTCAATCCACAACTGATGAAACTCTTTTGAACTTGTTTGGAATATGCTTGTATAATGGAGAGACTAATATAGAGAGAGAGGACAGAGAGAGTAATATGTGAAAGGAGAGAGAGAGAGAGAGAGAGAGAGAGAGAGAGAGAGAGAGAGAGAGAGAGAGAGAGAGGGAGGGAGGAAAAGAATTTGGGGTATTTTGGTTATTTGATAGGTCGAGGCCTGGAGGCAATTGGGTAATAGCTTAAAAGCGTGCCAGGGGCAATTTGGACCAAGTGTATAGATGAACAGTGAAAGTTGTCAATTACGAAATTATTTTGTGTTAACTGACTTTTTCACACAATACTATTGGAATACGGTCATCTTTTGAATATTGCCTCCAAAACTTGTCAAAAATGAAATTGTCCCAAAAGAAAATTCATACGGCCATCCTCATTCAAGAGGGATAAAGGCAAGAAAGATAATAATGATGTTTTTATAGTGAGGTTACTTTTTTTTCATGCTACTATTGCAGGGGAAAATTTTAGTTGTTTTTATCTTCCAAATGATTTTCTATTTAAGATTTAGTTAAGGTTGTGATTAGTTTATTCAAGGTTTGTGATTTCTATTTCTTAGGATTGTGGAACCTGTAAAACGCTTGTAATCGTCTTTCACATTAGTTATATTGAATTGAGAATTACAACTTTAGTGCTTGGTTTAGAAAGAGTATGAACACTTCAATTTTTTCCTTCTCTCTTCTTTTCTCATTTAATCTTGCCTTTCTTCAAGTCAACTCCCATATACCTAAGTTCTCTTCCCAAAACCACACTCAGCCAATTTCCAATTTGTTTTTCCCCAACATTGATTCACCAAACTTCCTGTATAAGTTCACCTTGTAACTAAAAAATGAGAATGAATTACAAACGACACCTGATATATTCTCGTCTTAATGGTTTGTGTAACGTTATTTAGGGGTTGTACTGCAAACTAGCAAACAAACATACAAGTTCCTGCCAGGGTGAAGAGACCATTTTCACCTTATCAACCACAAATATTAGCACCTAACCTGGCCTATTGGCAAGAAACAACAACTAAATAAAACGGTTAATACGCCTAAATCATGCTAGACAACCTTTTATACCAGTCAACTAATGCCTGGGCACACATTAATTTAACCAAGCCAAGAGACCAAATCTGAGAACTGTCTTGTATACTAAACCCCATTATATTGTCTAATTCTTTTTTTAAATAGTTACCATCATATTATCCGATTCTAAGTTGCACAAATTGATTGTTCTTAAAATAGAAACCCCAAAGCCTCATCTAATTCACACGGAATTGAATGCAGTAAAGGAGCCCCATTCTGCAGAATACCAATTCTAGTGTTTAGTGAGCTATGTTTGGAACATTCCCAATAATTAAATGTTATTTTCAGTTAAGGGTGAGTTTGAGATTTAATTCTGCAACTTCTCTTGTTTACTATTACTGCAAACCACAGACACCTAATTCCTTGTTTTATCAACAAGATGTGCAAAATAATAGTAAGTTCAGTTTAGAACTTTTAAATTTATGATCCACTGAAAGCTCTCAACCCCCCAATTGAAATGCAAAACTTGGAAACCTGAAAAAATACTGATGTTGCCAGTGGGTTCAGACATAATATGAGAACTCAACAACAATGTTTTCCACAATTTTAATAGTTTGGCATAATAAAGAATCGGAGCCTGAAGACAGTAATTAAAACCTGATTATTTTTTCTTTATAGAATTCAACAACAATGTTTTCCACAATTTTAATAGTTTGGCATAAGAAAGAATCAGAGCCTGAAGGCAGAAATTAAAACCTGATTCAAGAAAATATCACCAGAATATAACAATCAGATTAAAGGGGAATTCTATAAAGGCAAAAATAAACAAAACATAAAAACTTTTTAAAAAGGAAAAAAAAAAGCCATGAATTACAAGTTCAAAAGGCCCCCAAAAAATGTTACAAAAATTACTTAAAGTGCATGAGCAGCTAGAAGTAAAGATACAGAAATTGGCAAGAGAGAAAAATCAATTAGCAACTGCAGTAGGTAACGGAAGACCAAACTGCAAATGGCATTGTCATGCAACCAAAAAACATCTGTGAGTAGCAGGATTTGGATACAAGTAGAAGATTGTACAAGAACGGCATCAACCAAAAAGAGTTACAATAAGGAAATACATAAGAGTCTAAAAGCTTGAATATTGCACAATAGCATGAGTATAGAGTGGATTGAGACTGACCAGCATACCATACCTTAACTGACTCAGCACCCAGTGTTAATAGGGTTTTCTTAGCTTAACAAACACCATTACCCCAATGCAAGAAAGTGATCAATAATTCGACACCATACCTCTTCATAGCGGCCATGTGCATAATGAAGTGTAGCATCACCAAGCTTTTGTGACACCTCTGGACTAAGTTTATTCTTTGATCCCTTCCGCCTACCTCTCTTCTTGACCTGCATAAGGTGAAAAGAAGTTAAAAGTGTGGAGAATATAAATAAATAAAAGAGACATGTAATACATTCTATTCTTACAAGTTACAAGAAAACTGAAGATATTTCACAAAACATTCAAGCACAAAATAGTGTTGATATGTTTATGAAATCAAATCACTGTGAGATATTAAATAAGCTAGCTAGAATATTTGCACATGATATGCAAGTTTAAGTATGAAGAAAACTATAGCTATTACCAAGGGCTTAGCCCAAGTCCTCCAAGAGTTCAAGTCTCCAGTTGGAGAAATGGAAGTGTGCATGACACTGACTTACCCCGAAAAATAAAGGACTTACCCTGAAAGACAAACTAAAAAAAGGAACTATAGCCATTCAACAAATAGTTCTAACAGAAGTTTTATTAATAGGTTGCGAAACAAGTGAAGCATTTGAAGGCAGGACTAAATTTTTTTAAAAGGATATACTATACAACAGACGTGTGCATACAGAACAAAAGTACTACAGAGTAGTAAACAAAAATAAAACATGTGAACTGAAGCATTGAGAAAAAGGAGGCATTTTCTGGACAATTCAAATGAATCATTGACAGATAGATTCCACTCCCAGAATAACCCATATGTAAACCTGTGTTAAAGGTTTGACACCTAATACTTGAAGTACCTTTTGGTATATTTTGTATCATTCATAATTTCACTTAAAAGCATCCAGTTTAGAAAACTGTTCTAGGAATTCCAAAAAGAAGAGATTTAAGTACTTTTACTTCAATATAAATGAAACATCAGAAAGTAACGAAATTTGAGGAAGTGAAAGATGTGGAGCAAAAATAAGAGTTCCCAACTACTCGTATGTCATAGTCTGTCACATGTGTAGGGATATTGAGTCATGTGTTGGCAAATTCCTACACAAAGCTAGGGTTGTAAGATTGAACAAAATGTCTTGGGTCATCAACAACAAGTGAAGATGATGAAGATGAAGAATACCCAAAACGTGCAGAAAACCTCTCGAGCTCAATCTCATGTCCAGGTTAAGGTAAAATGAGATCTTATAGGACATAGGAATCTAGGTGGGGTTAATCTACTAGATAGAATTGGACCTCCCATGACTTAAGATTGATCTTTAAAAGGCTCAAAACAATGTTTAAAACAATTTTTTTCAAAATTAGAACACATAAATTAATCGAAAATTGTGATGGATAAATTGAACATATTTAAACAGATTTTTAATTTTTTTTTTTTTTTTTTTTTTTTTTTTTTTTTTTGATAAGAAAAATGTAAGGGGAACGCGTCCCAAGCTGTACAAAAACAGAATCTATGAAATCAAAGAACTCAAGAGGTCCACAATGTCCTCAAGAGAAGAAAAATCTCTCCCCCATCCCCAACAAAAAAGAGTACAAATAATAGAAAACTTCAGCACCCCAATGGAAGACTCCTTCCCATCAAAAGATCTTCTATTCCGCTCTTTCCAAAGGTTCCACCAAACGCAAAAAGGGGTCACCCTCCAGAAGTCTCTCGCCTGAGCCCCCACCCATTGGCCCCTCCAAATATCCAGCAATTCCTGAGAAGTCCGAGGCATGACCCAATGAATACCAAACAAACCAAAAATGAGACTCCAACAATCATGGGCCACAGGACAATGCAAAAGAAGATGATCCACTGACTCCCCATTAAACTTATAAAGACAACAACGATTGACAATGATATGTCTTCTCTTCCTCAAGTTGTCCAAAGTCAGAATCTTACTCCAAGCTGCAGTCCACACAAAAAAGGCCACCCTAAGAGGCGCCTTAGAAAGCCACACCGTCTTCCACGGGAAGGTGGTACCATGAAAACCTGTGAGGCACACAAAAAAGGACCAGACCTGGAACATCCCCTGTGAAGAAGGCACCCAAATGAGGGAATCTGCCCCAGTGCCTCCCACCTCCTGTCTATACAAGAGAGCCAACAAACCAGTGACATCATCCAACTCCCAATCCTGAAAAGATCGCCGGAATCGCACATCCCACGACAACCTTCCGTTATCAAAGCAATAGCAGTTCGCAACCATAGCATGTTTATCAACAGCAATCCTGAACAACCTTGGAAACAAAAGAGCCAAAGGCCTATCCTCGCACCAGGAGTCCTCCCAAAACCGGACATTCCTTCCATCCCGAACTCTGAATCTAATGTGTTTGGAAAAATCATCCCACCCCTTCCCAATCGCCCTCCACACCCCCCCTCCACTGGCAGACCTGACTGGCCTAGCTGACCACCCCCCTCTCTCCTCCCTAAAGCGACACGAAACAACCCTTCTCCATAATCTATGTCTTTCACTGCCGAATCTCCAAAGCCACTTGCCAAGAAGAGCACTGTTGAATGGCGCCAATCTCCTAATCCCAAGCCCTCCCAACTGATGAGGCCAGCAAACCTGCTCCCATCTGACGAGATGATACTTAAACTCCTCTCCGCGACCCCCCCAAAGGAAGTTACGTTGAAGCATCTCAAGTCTTCCAACAATAGAGGCCGGAGCCCCAAAAAAGCGAAAGAAAGTACGTTGGGAGGCTTGACAAAGTATTTTTCACTAACGTAACTTCTCTCGACCCACTCAATCACTGGGTCCCAACTTCCCACCCTCCTAACCGAGTCCCCCAGCGGCAAACCTAAATACGAGATAGGGAAGCGTTGCGTCCCACACCCTAAAACAGCAGCCAAAATGTCCACATCCTGGACCTCCCCCATAGGGACAAGCACACTCTTACCCACATTGACTTTCAACCCACAGACAGCCTGAAAACAGACCAAAACACATCTCAAATACCTCAACTGGAACACCTCTGCCTCGCAAAAAACAATAGTGTCGTCCGCAAAAAGCAGGTGAGAGATCTCCATCTGCTGAACCGAGTCAGGGCCGATCTTGAAACCCCTAATGAAACCCAAATCAACCGCCTTTCTCATCAACTTACTAAGAGCCTCCATAACAATAATAAACAGGAACGGAGAGAAAGGGTCACCCTACCTCAAACCGCGAGAGCTACCGAAAAACCTCGTAGGAGATCCATTCACCAACACCGAAAATCTGACAGTGGAAACACATGTAACAATCCATTTCCTCCATCTCTCACCAAAACCCATCCTCTCCAACAGATAAAACAGGAAATTCCAGCAAACATAATCATAGGCCTTCTCGATATCCAGCTTGCAAAGAACACTAGGAGCCCCACTGCAAAGTCTAGAATCCACACATTCACTAGTAATAAGGGCGGAATCCAGGATCTGTCTACCCCCAATGAAAGCATTCTAAGACTCAGAAATAACTCCGTCCAGCACCTCCCTCAATCTAAACGCAAGGACTTTTGCGATTAGCTTATAGATGCATCCAATCAGACTAATGGGTCTAAATTCCTTGATGTTAGAAGCGCCACCCTTCTTAGGAATGAGGGCAATAAAGGATGCATTTAGCGATTTCTCAGACCGCCCCCTGGAATGAAATTCATGAAAGGTGCCCATAACCTCGTACCGAACCACCTCCCAGCTCTCCAACAAAAATCTCATAGTAAAACCATCTGGGCCTGGAGATTTATAACCATTACAACTCTTTAGAGCCTTCAGCACCTCCTAGTAAAAAGGACTCTCCAACCCATCCCTTTCCAAGGCAGAAATAGAATCAAAGTGAAGACCATCAAGCCATGGCCTCCATCGAAGAGGCTCAGAATAAAGCCTTTGGTAGAAAGAGACTATGCCGCTTCGCACCTCCTCCTCTGTAGTTAAGATCGTACCATCCACACACATCCACCCAATGTGATTACTCCTTCTATGAGCATTAGCAGTTCTATGGAAGAACTTGGTATTCCGGTCTCCCTCTTTGAGCCACAAGGCCCGAGATTTCTAGCGCCACGAAATTTCCTCCAAAACTGCAATCTCCACACATTCTACCTGACAAGCTACTCTCCTACTGGCGATGAGATTCAGAAAGAACTCCCTCCCCTTCCAATCTATCAATCTCAGCAATATCAACCAATGCCCTATTCTTCCTCCACTCCAAACTCCCAAACACCTCCTTATTCCATCTTTTGAGATTATTTTTCAGAAGTCGAAGCTTTCCTGCAAGAATAAAACTCGACGTACCCACCACCAGGTTCTCCTCCCACCAAGGGTGCACAAATCCTTAGAAATTATCCGTTCGAAGCCACATATTCTCAAATCTGAAAGGAGTGCTATGAGAACTCAAACCTCCACAATCCAAAACCAAAGGGATGTGATCCAACGTCACCCTAGCCAACACAGCCTGAACAACATCCGAGAACTTCTCCTCCCAGTCACCGGAAATCAAAAATCTATCAAGGCGAGAAAAAGTTGGAACTTCCCTTCCACTGGACCAAGTGAAAGAAGCTCCCTCAAGAGGAAGATCAATAAGCTGATGGCCATCAATAAATTCAGAAAAGTGCATCATAGCCTGAGTCCATGGACCACATGTAGATCCCTCTGTCAGGGACCTAACCACATTAAAATCACCCGCCACACACCAAGGAAGAGACCACCTTCCCTTCACCCCACTCAACTCCTCCCACAACCCATCCCTTACATTATCATCGACCGGCACATACACCCCAGAAAAACCCCAAGTAAAACCATCCTCCTCCATCACAAAGGCACAAGACAGCGAAAATCTCCCCCTACAAGCATCCACCTTAGCCATCCATCTCCTATCCCACATAAGAAGAACACCGCCAGAAGTCCCAACAGAATCCAGCGCCTCCCACTCAACAAACCGATTACCCCACAAACTCTTCACCACACGATCAGTCATAGAATCAATCTTTGTTTCTTGAAGATATACCAAATGCACCCCCCATTTCCTCACCGCCATCTTTACCACCTTTCGCTTGCCCGAATCATTAAGACCGCGGACATTTCAAGATAAAAGTCGTAGCTTCATGAGAAAACAATCACCCCCATCACCCCCTTACCCCTCCCTCCTCCCTTACCACTACCCCTCTCTTTCTCCCCTCGAATCAACCTATCGTAGTT